AGATAGTTTAGTGTCCTTCTTGCTCCCTTTCAGTACTTGTCTCTTTAAGGCTGTTTTGAGCTGTTGTCTGACCTCAGCCTCCTCTCACTTTGAGCATCCTCCAACTTGTCAGGGTGAAGTAACTGTTGCTGCTATCTGTGTGTGGTTGCATGTCTCCTTCCCTTTTTCTATTCCTCGTTGCCATGTTCACCTTTCATCCTTTTCCCTGCTCATGGTCTCAGCCGGCTGCTTCTCTGCTGGTTGTGCCTCTTTTCATAATTTTGTACGGTGTGGTTTCTTTAACTTCAGCTGCTGTTCAAGGTCCTCTGCCTCTTGCTCTAGAATGAAAAACAGCTCGAACTTTGTGCATACAGACTTTTTTTTTTTTGTCTTTACTCTTTCCTGGTGAGGGGTTTTAGGTTAACTGAGCAGCTATGCATATCTACACTTCTTAGTATGAGCTCTGTCTCAGTTACAAAATGCCTATATTGTCAAGAGGGACAGTGTTAGCTGTCCTGCAGTGGCTTGAATGTGAGTACAGTCTGGGGCAGACTGTGCAGAAGCAGGGAACAAACCACAAACTAGTTGTGAGTTCTATACTTAGATTTCACCAACCAGTTATCAAGTGTGAACTCCTCAGGCACTAAATCAGCCTTAACATGGAGTCACAGACCGTCTCCTTGGGTACTCCAATCTATCTTGCCACCCAGGTGAGCTTATCTTTGTGATAGATGGTCCCTTACATCAGAAATTATAACAATATTCAGGTTACTCCCAGTCTGAAAGGACTAGTCACTTACTTCAGGGTCAGTTTCACCAAAGAACTCAAACCAATGACGCTTGTAGCTAATCTGTAATAAATTATCTAAAGACTTATTAACTAAGATAATAGAGTAATTTACAAGGTTAAAGCAGGTAAACATAAGTACACAAATGAATTACAATCTTAGGTTTCAAAAGGTGATAGAAACTGCTTGTAATATTCAAGCTCTGTATGTCATTTAGGGATAACCCAGGTTAAGCAGCTGGGGATCCCTTGCTTATGCTTAGAAATCTTGCCCTCCCAAAATCCAAACAGCATAGAGATACTTTTTCTTCTTGTTAGGGATTTTTCTTACTTTTCCACCCAGAGTTCAAGCTGATGGGATGAGTACATGCTTGCATCTCCTCGTCATGAGGTGGGGGGAGGAATGCAATTAACAGAGTCTTTGTTTGATGTTTCACAAGGCTCATTTGGGTTTCAATGGGTCTTCTTTGTGGGCAGGTTCTAACACCTTCTGCAGAAAGCCAGCATTTTACATTCATTAATGTTTCTTTTCTGTTCGATAACTGACTGACTTACACAATTAAGTATTTGCATCGCAATCCTCTGTAATATCACCTTATAACATGGGGTACAGATGTTTGGCAAGAGCTGGCACCTTGTCTGCCAGCATTACAGTGGTAAAGAGGACTGGACTGTTTGAACAATATCAGCTTGGGGAGTGACGGATATTAACTCTGGGAATCTAACTGGGTCCCCCACTCTCATTGTCATTGTTAACAAGGCCACCAAGGTAATCTACGTGGTTGGAAAAAATATTTATTTAATCCATTGTGGGGATTTGAGTTCATAGTAACACATGACTTTATAGCTTTAAAGCAAATACCCATCACCACCACAATTATATCCTTAATAGTAGCTTTTAAACCCAAGCAAAGAATGTAATGGGACTAGAGGAGGGGGTCCCTCTTGGTCACAACTGAATCACTTTGGTTGGCCAGTGTATGGAAGCTTGCATTGAGATGTCTATTCTGTACTATTCAGTAGTGGACACTTTCTAGTGCTGTGTACCTGGCACCTTCACGAGCATTCGATTCCAATACACATACCCAGAAAAAATCATCTTGTGTTAGGCCATAGAACTAATATAGCTTCATTTCATTTTTACCTTTTTTTAGATAAGTGTATCAGAGTTCATTTTAATTTGCCATATAGATGGCAGATCTTGGAAGGTGCCCTGTGGAAGGACTTGAAGGATATGGAGAAAATTGAAAAGGCATATTGTGACCCCAGTAATACCAGGTATACCTTGTTAGTAATTTACTAATGTTTGGGGCTTTCCTTCTGAAAGTGAAATACTGATCTAGATCCTTAGCTGGCATGAATTGACACAGCTCCATTAAAGCCGATATCTAAACTGTTTAATTTTATTTAGTGAATCAATGGGATTTAGCTGATTTACACCAGCTGAGGGATGTGGCCCCCCTAGGTGTTCATTGTACCCTGGGATCCATCTTGGGCGTTTATGGGTTATGCTATAGACCTGAGTGGCTAGCTCACTTGTTTGTTGTTCTGCACTATTGCACAAATGGATTATTTACAATGGAGATGGTGGGAAAACTTTTGAAGAAAATAATTTAGACTAAAATATTCTTGAAAATTTGTCCTGTTTTGACTAGCTCGTGTCCTGATTCATCCCTGCCTTTATGACAGAGTGTGTCTCCTTTACTATTGTAGTATCGTATTGGGGTAGTGCATGGCTCTTCACTCATTTCAGCGAGGAGTCCTTGCAGTAAGAGATGTGGGAGGATTAGAGCTGAGAGAGAGAGACAGCTGAGGGGCCTAGTTAGCAATTGTGAAGGTGGGAATAACCTCAGAAAGCTTTGAAATTGCTGTGGTAGTGCAAAGAAGATATTGGAGGAGACTCATACTAGGGATGTAAATATCATTTAAAAAGTTGAATGGTTAACCACGGTCCCTCCGGCTGGCGTGGGGCGGCCGGGGCTGAGGTCGCTCTGGCTGGCACGGGGCGGATGGGGCTGGGAGTTAACGGTTAAGGTCAGTTAACAGTAAGCCTAATGCTAATCGGTTAACCTTTTACATCCCCAACTCATACCAATATATGGTATAATGTATTGGAATATGTATATGGGCCGCTTACTTAAAAAGATCTCACATTCCACCTAGTGTGTTTGTAATGGTCTTGGCTTCTAATGGCTCATGGCCTGAAAAAAGGACAGCAGTACTGCTGCTGCTAACAGCCAAGAGATTCTCTTGCATCTGTAGCGATGAGGAGCTTTTGGAAGAAACTGTTGAAGTTCTGTTTCCCAAGTTGCATGTCTGTGGCTAGTGGCCACTAAGCACTGGAAATTGTAAAGAGAGGATTGGAGCAGCTGATGAACAGATCTGTTGATTAGCCCATGCTTATGTTGGATCGAAGCCTGACTTAAGCTATAAGTGCAAATGCGTTTTGAGGGTCTCATCTATTAATTCATATCACAAAGTCATTGCAGTATCCACAGTCTTCTGTTTCTGCTTTAGAGGGATCAAAAGGCAAGAGGTGTTCCAGCTCAGAATATAAGGAATTAGCAGAAGTGTGTGTGAAGTTTACACGTGCCCATTTTATATCTGACTGAAGAACCACTGGGGTCATGACTGTGATTTCTATAAGTTATGATTTCATATAGATTTACAATATTATGTCTTAACTTTGGCACCATATACAATACAAAATAATACACATGTATGGGCAGTGTGAGGGGTGAATGTTGTAGGAATCATAACTTTGCCCTTGGGGGCACTTACATTACTTTGACACTGGGCATAATATTTTGCATTATTTTTATGGATCTCTGACTCAGAAGTTGTAAGTATGCTTAACTGATTGATGCTAACTTCTTTTTTTTTTTTTAAACCCTTTTGGCCCTCTCATACAGATTTTCATACAGTGGCTTGCAGTATATATCTTTTCGGAACATGACCTATGGCTCTGCCAAAGTTAGGCGCCTCTCCACAGCATCGTCTGTGACCAAACCCCCTCACTTCATTCTTACAACAGATTGGCTTTGGTACTGGAAGGACGAATATGGTGTGTGGCGTGAATATGGAACAGAAGTAAGTGTGTAGATGAAAGGCAGCTGCCCAACCCTATTGCATTAAATCTGCGGAAACTATTGGAAGCTACATGGCTGTCTTTTTTTATTTTAATAGTCTATTGATCAAATTTGGGCTCAGAGGATTAGTAATGGGCTATGGAGACTTTAACTTTTAGGTTCAGTGGCTCAGCTACAGGAGCAGTCAGTATTACTGAAAATCATTACTGACTGACATCTGTTCAGTGCGTTGTCTGAAATAGGTGACAGGTATTTCCCCCTGTTTTCATTGCTTGAAATGTAACCTTCTATTTCCTTCAGTGTTTCTTGACACTCTGGATTCAGCAGCTCGCTCTCCCCCTCCCCATTCCCATCTCCATCTTGGGAGTTGGGGAAGTTTCTCTGTTTAGCTGGTGGTGGATGGCCCTTATTTTAAAGGGAAGTAGCACACAGGCCTGTAAGGCCACAGCTGCCACAGAACAAATACTTCATACGTTCTCATTTTAAGAAGATTAAAAAAATCTTTCTTCTTTTGGTTCTGACCTGACAGGATGATAAACATGATGCTTCCACTGTATGTAGCAGTGACCTGGAGCACGCTTATCTAGCAAAAGTGTCTCCAACGTTGCAGTTCAAAGCTGGGAGACATGAATATGAACTCAACTTTAAAGGTACGCTGGGTTTTTTCCCCCCCTTCCTTTCAGATATGTTGTGTAAACTATGTTAGTAGAGGAGAAGTTAAGATATTAATCTTACTTTGTGGTGGTCAAAGGAAAAGGGAATCCATTAAAGCTCTCAATACAAGAGCTAGTCACCCTGAATAAACTCATGTGCCTATTCAGACTGAATTTTTTTTTTTTTATTTAAAAGCCTCCTCTGCAAGATTCAGCTGATTTGGTGAAAAGTTGCATTGTTTTTTGACGCTAACAGTGTGAGAGAATCATGGAAGAATCTGTAAACCAGCTCCCAACTTCCTTTTAATAACAGGATAACCGCTAGAAAAGGAATACTTCAGCAAAGCTTGCTTTTCTTTAGCCACTTCTAAAAGCCTGAAAACTAGCTTAGTCTTTTCTCATGGATTTCTCATTCTGGTTATGGCAAGTAATGAGTCCTAAGGAGTAGACTGCAAACCAGTTTCCAGGTTCTTTCAATACTGGTTTAAGGAGAAGAAAGCCTTTGCTTTTTTTAGTTTGTAAATCTTAAACACTATTTACATATTGCTCCCACCACTGTTAAATCATTATTAGGCAGGCTGGGCACTGCTTAATCTCTTCCATGTGGCTCTTTCTCTGTTAATGTCACAAATGTCCTTTTACATCCAGACAGCCACCCCCAGAATTGGACTTAAACTAAGGTGTTGTGTGTTGTTTTTTTTAAAAACCATGCATCCATTTCCTAGTTAAAGATAGGTTTGGCATAGTGTCCAGACAGTCGTTTTAGCAGGAGGTTATTGTGGAACCATTGCCACAAATAATAAACTTCCCCCTATACTGCTTTCTCCGGGAATCTAGTTTGAGGTGTGAGAAGAGTCTTACACAATCTCACCTTGAGAATCTATCTGTTGCAGGGCAAAGGACAGAAGCCACTGCTTCATGCCAATTCTGGCCTGTTCCAGAGGCTAGCATGACATCCAGTATAAATTAGAGCAACCTCAAGGCCTGCCCTAACTTAAAGTAGCTTTCCCACTGCCGCCTATGGGCTGCTCTATAATCCAGAAGAGCTGGAGTGTAGGTTGCTAGCAAGCAGAGTGGCTAGACCACGGCTCTGTCTGCCTGGGAAGGATGAAGTAGTGGGTTAACCATGTCAGGACTTAAAGCAGCGCTTCCAAGGTGACCAGATACTCAAACTTGAAGCTAAGACCGCTAATTGTCCCCTTTCGTGAGAATTTACTCTCCTTCCCACCTCTTCCCCAGACCTGCTATCCATACACTTGGAGAAGCACAAACCGCCTGGACTGGTCATCTGGCTCCACTCAGACTCGCTAGTACTAGTATATGTCTTGAATCTCTGCTACTGTTGCCTTCTACCCAGAAAAAGATGCAGAAGGGAAACATGAACTTCCTACTGGAAGTTATGCTGGACCTCAGTCTATATGCCTGTAAGCAGCATGGAGTTCCCATCCTGCTCTGAAGAGAGTATAAAAGTCCTACCTAAACCTCTTTCTGGTAACTTATACAGTGTAAATTTCACCCTGAGATTACTCCCCACGCTTAGCAATTCTAGGGGTCTTCCCTGCAGAGCCTCTTTCTCTCTCTCTCTCTCTTTCCCTGAAAGAGAGACCCCATCCCTTTTTTAAAACCTGGTTGCGGATGATTGTATCCATTTGCTTGTATGACTTGGCAACAGTTGCAGTACACGGTCAGGTAGGGTACAAGCCCCCGATAAGAGGATGACTCTGGAAAACCATGCATCCTTATGCAGACACCAGAGGGAAACTTTATCTGTGCTGGCCCTGGCACCAGCATGTGGACAAAGGGTAGGTGGCTTACAGCTCCCTGTATTAGGGATAGCCAGGGCTTGTTTTGGCCCCAGGCATGGTCTAGGGTAGACCTCAGGCCTGTTCTAACTTGTGTCCCTGTGCTAATGTGGTGGGCAGAATTGCTGTATTATAAATTCCACAGCCTCATTACCTCTTCCCTGACATGCCTCCTTTCTCTTCCTGGATTGCCACCTGCACTGGGAAAGGTCGGGGGAGGGAATTTTTGCTGTCTAGTCATAAAGCTTTGCTAGTTCTGGGTCTTGTATCATCAGACCATTCTTCATTCAGGAAGTGGAGGCTGAGAACTGTAAGCCAAAAAATAAAATTTTGATCAGGATGGGAAACGCAACTGAAACTTTCTACTTAAAATAAATAAATAGAATAAAAAATTGGGAACTATGACCACCCTTTTAAAAAGTCACTTTATTGTTGGTAAGCATGATGCAGAATGGGTGCAGTTTTCCTTTAAAAATTAGAAAGCATCCTCATTCTTGCAGGTATCATGAGCAAATTACTTGGCTTGTAGAGGCCATATGTGTGTATTCTTAGTGTGCTAACAGCATCTGATGAAAGCCAGTTACCTCTGCAAGAAATTAAGCTATTGTAGGTCAGTTCCTTAGGGATACTAGAGTAACCAATGAGGGTTGTTCCTTCAATCCAGCTCTTTATTTTTGTAAACAAATACAGACATCTTTGCCCGGACAGCCTGAATGGTATAACATTCTGGCTTATTTTATTTAAAAATCTACGAGACTGGATTTATTTTTGGTTTTGTTTAGGGACAGTGAATGCGATACAAAGGCCTTGTATACACACACACAATTTAGGTCAACACAGCTGCATTACTCAGGGTCTGAAAAATCCACACACCTGAGAGCCGTAACTGTGCTGACTTAACCCCAAGCGTAGATGCAGCTAGACTGACAGAAGAATGTTACCGTCACTCAAGGAGGTCATGTTCCTGCAGCAATGGGGGAAAAGCCCCTTCTGTCATTGCTGTAGGCAGCGTCTGCACTATGGGGTTATGCCGGCATAACTGTGCTGTAGCAAAGTCTTTCATTCCTGGATCATTGGTTCAAATCCAGACTACCATGTGTTGTCAGTCAATGAAAATTGGTGCCCTGTGATGGCTGTTTGGTAGCATATTTGAAGAGTTAATGGTCCAAGTATAGCTGTAAGGGGAGAAAGGTCGCCTTTGTTGACAGCGTTAAGGGAGAGGCTGAAACCTGAGTATGAAGAATGCAACTACCCATTCTGTAGAGGTGGTCCTTCCAGGTGAAGGTTGAAGCACACGAGCAGAACAGTGTGGGGATGCTTCCACAACTGCTACCGTTCTCTCCATAGCCCTGGAAAGTGAAGTGAATTATCTGTCATTTCCTCTAGATTTCAGAGCAAAACTAAAAATAAATAAATAAATAAATAAAAATTGGAGTCAGAATTCTCCTATCTGATCTACATGGTAGAGCTTGGCTCCTGTAGTCTGTGATGCAAATGGGAGTTGGCTGCATGTAGTAAGAGCGGGACATTGGCATCATC